ATCGAGCAAGTATAGCTAAGCAAGCAAAACTATCGAAGTCAGAAACAAGACAAAGCTAAAATGAAACTAACTACGGGAGAGGTAGGCTAGTATAAGAGATTTAAGAAGAGGAAGAGAGTTAGTCGAGGATATAATGTGATAGAGGGAATTATAATCAAAGCATAAGACTCTAAAGGGTTCGTGCAAGGCATAATTCGATCTGCACAGTGGAAGGAACAAAGGAATATAGTTTCTAGTGGGTCTAATGGGAATCGTAAAGTTTACGCGGCTCAACAAGTCAGGGCTGTCTACATCCCCCTTGATCAAGTTGTGCATAAAAATTACACCAAGCACTTTTCTACGACTAACTAAGGATGGAAGATTTATTAAAAGAAGTCTACTACGGTAGGATGGCAGTCTCACAGTTGCATCCCAGTTGAGGCCCCGTGAAAAGTAAGGGGCCTAAATGGCTACCTGGGGTACTCCAGAAGTAACCATAACAGGTAAAGGTAAGGAGTTTTTGAAAAGAACCCTTTGAGACCTAGAACACAGGTAGCTAGAAACCCATTTCAAAAGATTGGGCGGAAACCCTAGAAGGTCGAGCTTTTGTGCAATAAGAGAATGGTTTACAGTATCGAATGCCTTACTGAAGTCAGTGTATATATCTCTATAGTTTTTAGCGTCAGACTTGCTACCTTTCTTATGGAGAGGAATTATAAAAGATTACTTCCAGATGGGGGGAAAGCTAGAAGAATGGATGGATAGAGTGAATAGTTTAAGCAAAGGTTTTAAGGTCCGCACAGAGACTCGGCACAGTACCTGAGTACACAGCCGGGAACTCCGTCAGGGCCCGGTGAAAATACGAGCTTAACTAATTGAAGTTCATGAAGTAAGGAGCCTTCATTAAACATTACATTAAACATACCATTCGACCTTGGTAAACTATATGGATACATATGACCTGGGTAGCTTTCCTGGGAATAGGTGGTTTGAAAAAATTGTGAAAAAGATCGGCGATTGCCTGATCATTGTTTGCCGACATATTCAAAAATGCTACGCTTACTGTTTACAATACTGTAAAAGTGTTTAGGGTCCTGTGAAAAACGTATCCTGCATCGAAGGAGGTAGTTCCTATAGCATTGAACATTAAGAACAGTGCAATTTAACCGAGTTATTAAGTAATTTGAAAGAGAAGAGGGAGACCCAACTTCTTGAGATTTTTTAAATAGTCTTGATTTTAGGTTCTTTAGACTGGATAACTCTTTGGTGAACCAAGGAGGTTTCAGAGATCTAGTCGGACATGAAAGTCGAACACACGTGTCCTGTTTGTGCCTTCAATGACGTCAGTGCACGAGTACAGACCGTACCAATCAATATTCCTAAT